AGAGTCCCCTGGACTGCAAAGAGAATAAACCTATCCATTTTGAAGGAAATCAACCCTGAGTGCTCACTGGAAGGGCAGATCCTGAAGCTGAGTCTCCAATACTTTGGCCATCTCATGAGAAGACTCAACTCCGTGGAAAAGACCCAGATGTTGGGAAAGTGTGAAGACAGGAGGAGAAGAGGACGACATGGTTGGACAGTGTCATCGAAGCTACCAACATGAATTTGACCAAACTCTGGGAGGCAGTGGAAGACAGGAGGGCCTGGCATGCTCTGGTCCACGGGGTCACAAAGAGTAAGACACGACTTAATGACTAAACAACAAAAAACAGATAATTTTAGGTGTCTTGGTCAATTGACATTCTGAGGATTCTGAAAGATGGAGTCATGACAGTTGAAGTGATATTGAACTGTTTAAGCAGGAAGTGACTATACATTCACAGCTCTGTTTTTAATCTCTTCACCCAGTGGCTGCTACTTTAGGGCTATCATATTACATACTGGTGTTATCCCAAAAGCAGGTACTAGAGAAAAAAGAACTGTGCAGGTATGTGGATAAGAGGAGAGGTGGGAAATTGCCAGATTCTGGACCCCTCCCAGTACATCAAGGGCTCGCTATTCAATCCACCTCTCTCTGCACCTACCCACACTTCCTCCTAGTGAAGGATATTTTCACATACACTTATGATTGTTTTGCCAAGATCTATGCAACTTTAAAACACGCTTAGCTTGCCCTGGAACATACCTACATATATTTGCCAATATGAACTTAATTTCTTCTGTAGTACATTCTGCTAAGAGTTCAAAGCAGTACTTCACATACATGAGTTGTGTCACACTTTAAAAGTTACAGTCAAGACTGTATGGATTGCTAACAAGAGGGCTGTAGTTCAGTGGCAAACTTCATGCTTTGCTGATGCTACACCCAATGTCCCCAGATAAAGCTGGGATGTAAAAACATTTTGTCATCACAGTATCACACAGCAGGAGAAGCATCCCATTAACCAAACTAGATTTACAGTATCTTATGCAGAGGATGGCTGCTTGTTGGCTGCTGTAGTCAACTGAACTACAAGCCAGAAGATAAACAAGCCAGGGAACCAGTTAGGTGGCTTTGGGGTAAGAGCTAAACATGAAGTCCTATCAAACTAGAGCGAGAGATAAGCCATCCTTCCTCCCACTCCTTTTGTGTCCTTGCTTTTGCTATAAAATCCTTTAAAAACAATAATGAAAAAAATGTCAGGTATGGAAGAAGCGAGCCCTTTTCAAATCCAGTTGCACCCATTTCAGAAAGCAGCAGACTGAATGGCAGGGATGTAAAGACAGGGAAAAAATGCTGCAGAAAACGCAGCAACATTTCTGATTTTCCTTCTCTTTAGCAGCCATGAAATAAGAGGAAGGAGTACTCCGATCCCTGGTCAGCCTCTGCCATCAGCTCAGCCTCTGCCAGGACTTTGCCTCATAAACTTGCCTGGTACTGAGCAAAGCCATTGGTCTATCCAAGCAGATCTTGGGAAAGTTCCCTTTTTGGATCAAAACTCCCAGAATTCTCTTGCCATCATGGCTAGCAACCGTGCTAGCCAATCAGTTCTGGCAGGTGCAGCCCCAAAATACAATTCTTCCAATATCTGCATCTGCTTAGTGTCTACACAAGCGATGGGCAACTTCTCAGTAAATGTACCTGATTCTCCCACAAGCTGAGGGGCTGCAATGACACTAGGTTTTCTGCACAGGAATTCAGGGGCCACTCCAGCCCCTCTGTGATACAGCAAGGTGCCAACATGACTTCCTACATGGCAGGACCTCATGGGCTCCTCACCTGCCATGCTGCCTCCTAAAGAAGAGGATTCAACAGCACCCTTTTCTTTCTTGCCAGTTATTTCAAATTATGACCCATGTCTGATTCTAAGTTTGCTAAGAGCTGATTTAGACAGCCTTGCACTGACAGTGACCTTTGCTTCTTCTGGTATATAAGTCTTATCAGCGATTTGCTACAAGGACAGATCACGAAAGCCTGCAATGAACACAAGTGGGACCTGGTGAAGGGGCTATTGTGAAAATTGGTTTGGAGAGTCCAAGGAAACTTGATAAACCAAGACAAAGAGAGAATCTGTTGCAGAAGTAAGGTACACAGTGACAGAGAACACAAAATGAGGGAGATGGAACAAAGCAAGAAGACTACAGATGCACATCTGTACAAAGGTATTAAGAGCAAATAAGGAAGATGAGGACATTCAGCCTGGGAGCACTTGCAATATTATTGAGCTTTAGTGGGCCTGGCTTGAATAAATGTCTGGACAGGAGACCACTGAAGCCTTATGCAGCTGTTTATACTTACCACACATAAAGAGGTGTGATCTAGCTGCTGTATATCCCTTCTCTATCATCACTTCCATCACCCTGAACAAGTGAAGAGTATTACCACACATAAAGAGGTGTGATCTAGCTATATCCCCTCTCTATCATCACTTCCATCACCCTGAACAAGTGAAGAGTAACAAGTCAACTAGAGACTCTCCATTATCCATGGGGACTTTCTGCCTGAACTGGAACTCTGATCTTCCAGGGTTACAGTTCTTATAGAGAGATCCCATGGATTATCCTCCATGTGTTGCAAGCTACAAAACTGGAAAGAGAGGAGAGTCATGCTAAAATGCTCCTCCTGAACCTGTGGTTAATAAATGGAAATACTAACACCCAGATATGGGGTGCAAAAGGATTTAATAAACAAAATGTAATTAAGAACAATGCTCCTCCTGAACCTGTGGTTAATAAATGGAAATACTAACACCCAGATATGGCTTGAGAGACATGGGGAGCAGAAGGATTTAATAAACAAAATGTAATTAACAACAGAAATGGGAAGGACAAATAGATATTTTCCCTCTTTTTTTAGGGACGTGGTGGCGCTGCGGGCTAAACCGCAGAAGCCTGTGCTGCAGGGTCAGAAGACCAAGCAGTCGTAAGATCGAATCCACGCAACGGAGTGAGCGCCCGTCGCTTGTCCCAGCTCCCGCCAACCTAGCGGTTCGAAAGCATGCAAATGCAAGTAGATAAATAGGGACCATCTCGGTGGGAAGGTAAACAGAGTTCCGTGTCTAAATCACACTGGCCATGTGACCACGGAAAGATTGTCTTCAGACAAACGCTGGCTCTATGGCTTGAAGAGCGGGATGAGAGCCGCCCCCTAGAGACGGACACGACTGGACAAAAATTGTCAAGGGGAACCTTTACCTTTACCTTTACTAATTAAGAACAGAAATGGGAAGGACAAATAGATTCAGAAAGGGAAAAGAACAGAGATTGTGAACAAGGTAGAGAATGAACAATCCTCCATATCTTGTTGGGTTGCCATTTCCCCACCACCACCATTGGCTATATTGGTTGCAGCTGATGGAAGGGCCACAGGTCACCCAACCTGACTTTAAAAATAAGTACTAGAAACTCACAATTGATTCTCTTCAAGACAAAGAGCCAGTGGATGCACACAAGGAAAAGAGTAAAACAATCCCAGAACTGACAGAGAATGATATGCATGGCAGATACTGTAATGTTAGGCCCCAGCTGACAAGAAGAGATGATGGCCCTTTGTCATTTTCCAAGACTGTTACTTATTTATAACAGCCTTTTCCAATGTGACACAATTTCCATGACTCATCCAACACAACTAAGCAAGATGATGGGAACTGTAATTCCAACACATCTGGCAGATATCACTTCAGGTCAGATTTAATGTATGTTTGCACCATAAACATTAATAGCCTTTAACAATCATATGCTGATACCAGAAGTATTAGACTTTGCTCAGAACTAAAAATTCAATTTCCCCAAACTCAGTCTAGTCTACAGTTAACCTGGTAAGACTTACCATAGTGAGGAGTCACAGAGAAATAGACCAGATGACAAAGATCATATGCTTCAATTCTAACGTCTTTCCAAATTCCTTGAGTGGGGAAAGAGGGACCCCAGTCCCAGCTAAAAGAACACTGCTCCTGCAATTAATTAGACAGACGTATCAGAAGTGCAGAGTGCTTAGCTGAGGCGTTACTTTAAAGAGGACCAAATGGGGAAGGGACCATGTTCTAACAAATGGCATTTATTTAGATTTCTAACTCACCCATCACCAGAAGACTGGTGCAGAAGAAACAATGAAAGTATTAAATATATGACACTACATAGGCAGAGCTAAGCCCCAAGTTCCTATAACACTGCAAGGTGCAAATTTCCAAACTTCCTACATTCAAGATAAAAATTCTGCACTGATTTTATCACTTGCTGAGGAATACCACTATGTCTGGCACTGAACTCCTTTGAGGTGAAAGAGGATTCTAAGTGTTTACAGAATAAAGTGCCAAAATACCAATATTACTGAGTACGTTTTTTTATACACACAGCAAGTAAATAAATAAGAGGAACACAAGCCAGGCTTTTGGTCCCTATTTTACCTCACATCTGCTGAGAGAATGTTATAAAGCAATGGTAGACTAAAGACAGATTTAGATCTCTAGTGTGATTTGAAGCTTGTCAGCAAGGATTTCTGACTCAGTTTTTTCAGAGATACTTAGTGTAGCATAGTGGATAGAGTAGGACTCAGGAAACCTGGGTTCGAATCTCTGGTTGGCCATGGAAACTTGGGGGCAGGAATATTGAACTGGTAAAATCACTACTCGAATATCTCACTTAATTTGAAAGCCCTGTTAAGAGTTGCCTACAGTTTGTTCTGACTTGACATCACACAAGAGCAACCACCAGGGGAGTTTACTATTAAATGATACAACCAAAATGAAAAAAATCTGAGGGCAAGCAGTGATTTTTTTTGTGTGGGAGCCCTTTGAAGTAAATTATGGTACTCAAACTCCTCAGCTTATAATATTCTTGAATTTTGTATGTTTGGGTTTTGCAGCAGGGTCCAACTGGTGGATCTTGAGGATCTAATAAAACAACCCTTCCCCCCAAACAAGAAAAGAGTAGAAGTCTGAAACCTGTGCACAACACTCTTAAATATACCTAATCTTCCCGTGCACAGAGACAAGTGCCATGGAAGAGTGTGAAGCATGGGCATACAATCTTTTACATCGATTGACTGAGTACCCTGTCTTTCTGCCCTCAGTAACCCTCCAAAAGGCTCCTGAGGTGGCCTCATTCCTCATCTTCCTACCAACAAATCAAGGGATCTCGAGGTTTATCAACAATTCAAGATAATCAGAACGTCAATGCTGCTGCATGCCTTACCAAAGAAACCGCCCAAGCTGTTCACATTTGAGGTTGGCAGGCGAAGAATAGAGAAGAACCATTGCTGAGCTTTAATTTTTCTCTTTGGAATGAATTACTACCATTTAAATATGTGGGAGAATGAGAGAGAGAATGAAAACCGTCCCTTTATATCTGGGTGGGCACATTCAGTGGGTCTAAAGGCCAATCCCAACCCCTCATCCCAGGATATGTTCTGGCACAGGTCATGATAACATGTGATGCTTTATATGCACTTTTCACAGGAGTATTTTGGGAGGCAGTTCACTGCATGTTGGGATCAGAATCATGTTACAGACCTATGGAGACTTCTTGTGTCAGCATGCCATGCTTATCTGAGCACATGAAGATGCTTTTTAAACAACTGTTCGATGATTCCAGGCCACAAATACACAACCAACCATGCCAGAGATAGGGTCCCCAAGATGGTTTTCTGTGTCTTATTCCTACCTCACTACCAACTGACGAATCAGGCCTCACTTAATCAAATCATGCACAGAGGGGAAGAAAGCCTGTATTAACATGGCCTCAGCTTCTGAATATCATGAAAGCGCTGCAAGGTAAAAACACAATGGAAAATAAGTTCCTGGATTTCTGAATAATGCAGAGCTGGACAACTTCAGCTGGTCCACTGGATAATTTTGCTCCTGCAGGATCTGCCCTGGCTTGCACCACCCATATTTGATGAAACTAGAAATCTACATCTGATTTAATAAAAAAACCCTATTTTTACCAAAACAAGGCTCAGAGGAAGGTCTGTCTTCTTTTAAAGGCAAACCATGTTTCCTGGAGTATCCAGTAGCATGAGTCTCCATTTTTATAAACTTGTTTGTTTCTGGGTGTGGGGTCTAGGAGTACAAAAATGGATGAGGAGTGCACCAGCAGTGCCCTTCCAACATATTTATCAGCTACTTGACTTTCACTGAGCTGATAGAAAATATATAAACTATACGAACAACATGTGACTCAACTATGCAAGGTAGCTTCAGTCCATGCTAAGATTCCCAGGGCAAAACAAACTGTTGATCACTGTCTGAATATATCTCAAGACTTTACCTCAAAGCTCCCCATCTGGAAGTGCACATACAATAGATATTGCTAAAGTTTTACATAGTGACTTACAGATTTAAATTTATAATCCTAATATCTGGAAGCTGCGCCATACTAATTTTGGCAACACACACTGTGTTCCCCCTAGCTTATTCTGTGTATCCTAGGGAATCAGCTTGCCTGCCAATATATCATGTTACAAGAAGCGCAGAGCAGGCAGTGTGCCTATTTCTAGTTTATGAAATGCAGAGACCATCATTTCTTAGAAAACTGCACACAAAATGGAAAGATCTTGTTAACTGACTGCAGCTAGTGATGGGATTGAAGGGTTCCTGATGTGCACAAGCATTATGAAGATATAACAGCAATCATCTCAGTCCCAATGCACAGATTTCAGGACACTACCTTTGCATGTGGTAATACTGTCATGTTCTCTGGAAGAAAATGAGGTGATAATGTCACTATGGGCAGAATCTGTACCATCAAATGCATGACTCAAGCTTCTAACTGCTGCCCAAGGTGAAAAGTTTCCATTGTGAAACCCTAAACATTATTTTTGATATTCCCATGAAATGGTAGGTTATTTCAGTTCAAAAAGTTATTGTATACCCACCACTTTAGAATTAGTTCCTTGTTACATCTTCCGCAGAAGCACAGAGATGTAAAATTTTCAGAAGTTTTGAGGGCCTGGGAGAAAATACCTCCTTCTTTTCAAATAGAAATTTGGGAGGGGGGGAGTGAAATATATGCAGTACAATGGTGCCCCGCTTGGTGAAAATAATCCGTTCCATTAAAATCGTTGTTAAGCGATATCATCGTCAAGCGAAAGAAAAAACCCACTGAAATGCATTGAAAACCAGTTCAATGTGTTCCAATGGGCGAAATACCTCATCGTCCAGCGAAGATACCCCATAGGGGAAGCCATTTTCGGTCGCTGTCTTCCGGAAATAGGTCCGGAAAACAGCAGGCGGTCATTTTGAAAACCCGACGATCAGCTATTTTTGATCATCGTAATGCGAAGAATGGGTTCCCGAAGCAGGGAACCGATAGTCCTAAAACGGATTTTCCCCATTCAATCATCGTTTTGCAATCACAATTGCAAAAACCTCATCATGACGCGATTTCGTCATGGAGCAGGGTAATCGTCAAGCGGGGCACCACTGAACAGTACTTATTTTCATAGCAGTTCTAAGGTTATGTTACTGCCCCAGTAACATAAAATCCTTCATACATAGCCTAATTAGCATATAAAATTGTACTATTTGGAACATTTATGGAAATTTAATATGTATGGCTTAGTTTTATAAAAGGAAAAAATTATCATTATACCCTTGTACTATAGAGAGAGCTACAAGCAGCTGGACCCTATGCTACCTAAGTATATGTACTTTAGCTTTGGCTATGTAAGAAGCAAGAGGAAAATAATACATTTCTCTCCAAATGTATTATTTGGAGAGAAACTATCCTGCAGTTTACTACGACTGTCTCCCTCCAACTGGAACAAAGATCTCCAGAAGAAAGCAAGAAGTCATTCACAAGCAATGAAGGGCACCTTCTATGCTCATCTCATGAAAATAGGAACATCCACCAACTGCAGAAATGTATTGTGGATCTCACAGCATTCTATGCGTTTCCTAGTTAGTAAAAAACAAGCAGTCTTGAAAGATTAAAAATAAGTGTTAATGTACTGGCAAATTATAAGCACCTTGGAATTTGGATAGATGAACAGTAAGATTATGTCTGTATAATAAAAACAACATAAGATGGCCCCGAGCAACTCTCTTGCAAATGTAATATGCAACAAAAACTTAAAATTATAGGGCAAAACAAATTTGCAGGCAGAAAACTGAAAAAAATATATATCCAAACCTATATTAATTGAGCTATTCATCCCTAATTATTCCAATCCTGACATTAGAAGAATAAGCCAAAATATTTTTTCAGGTGCCATTACACAGTACTAAAGTGTTCAATAAGTTCATTCCTTCAAACACTCTTTACAACTACAGGGGACAATGACACGGGACCTGGCACACATAAAACTGGTATTCTCTGGCTGTGTTGGGGCCTCTTTTCCTATCTGCAATGGCTAACACCTTCTTGCCAGAGAAATGAGATAGAAATTTGATGGGAAGATGGGGCTGAAAAGAGCATATTAGGAAAGATCTTAATCGGTATCTAAGCAAAAACATGTAATTCCTTCAAGGCTCAAAGTCTCCCTTTAAAAGGCATTTTCTATAAAAACAACACAGCCGCCAACACATGAAAACCACTCTGCCAGCCATTTCTAGTCTAAAAATAGGACTACAGCTGTTCAAGCTGTTCGCCCCCGCACTGATTTCTAATCAACACAGGAGAAACAACATATAGATTCCAGAGCCAAAAGATGACCCCACCACATTTTAATTAACAAGTGTAGATCATTCTTTCTCAGTGTATCTAAACACATGTCCAACACACTCACTCTCATTGCATTAGCAAAGAACATTCACAACCATCTTTCTTTCTATTAGTTTTCATTACCAAGTTTTCTTCCACTGCTTGACAGTAGTCATCATCAGCCAGAGGTGCACAATAGTTGAATATGGAAAGCAATGAAGGTATTGAGCTAACCCAGTAACAATTCAAACCATACCATATTCACAAAAGCACAGAAGCTTTCTTATTCTAATGTGCAAACTTAACCACACTTCTCAGAGAGTTTGTCCCATTTAAGACAATGGGCCTTACATCCAAGTAAACAGAGAACTAGTGTGATGCAGTTGTTAGGGCTGCTGAACAAGGAGATGCAGATCCAAGCCCCCTCTAAGCCACAAACCATACTGGGTCACCCTGCCCTATTTCTCCCTCCCAGCCTGACTGACCTACCGGTCAGGGTTGTTATTAAGATCAGTGGGTAAGGATTAACTGGAAGCAAAAAAAAGCATATGAGCTGCATTGAACACACCGAAGGAAAGACAGGCTGTAATCATAACCAAGAAATAAACAGGAATTACCTGTATTTTCAATTTCCAAGGACAGAATGGCAATTTTTATTAAGTTTTTCAGCTCTCATGATGGCAATGGATAAAATATTGTTTAGAACTACTCTGATTTTCTCCCACAGTCCAGACAGATTGTCCTTCCCAGTTCACAAGAACATAGTGAGGCACAGCTTCTTATTAACTAATGCTGCCCAGAAACTGTCAGAGCTGCACAGTGTAAGCAGCTCAGAATACAAGAAACAGCAAATACACACAAAGCTGTTTGGCTAAGATACTTAAAACCCTGCCAGCACATTCTGGCACTTTTGAAAGCTAAGTCTTATGTATCTTATTTATTCAACATGCTAGCTGGGCACAAGCAAAAGGCCCAATCTACCAAGAACTTCTCTATGAAATGAACCTGTTTTTACACAATTCTACTTAATTCAATGAGGTTTGCTTGGGATAATATTTCAGTGGATTGTGACTGATCTATATATATTTGTACTTCTACTGTCACATGCTTAGTTACCTAGTAGTAGTAGGCATCCTTCAGTCTCAAGAGACTATGGGAACATGTTCTGAATAGAGGTCTTGGAACAGTGTCTAGTGCGGCTGAGAAGGCCAATATGAGAGTGACAATCCCTTCCACACTGAAGACAAATACAATCTGTCCCCTGTCCAGCTCCCTGATTTTGCTGTCTCTTTGCCTCGGCCTGCTGAACAAGTGTCTCTTCAAATTGGGAGAGGCCATGCTGCACTGCCTGCCTCCAGGCTGAACGCTCAGATGTCAAGGTTTCCCATCTGTTGAGGTCCATTCTTAAGGCATTCAGATCCCGCTTGCAGATATCCTTGTATCATAGCTGTGGTCTCCCTCTGAGGCGCTTTCGCTGCACTTAGTTTCCATTTCTGCATAAATGGCCTTTTTTGCACATGTCTAGAATTGTAGAGTTCTCAGTATTTCTCCAAAATTACATATTGTAAGACTGATCCTTCAGCAAAGGAATGCTGCAATATTTTTACTTATGGTAAATATAAATATAAGGACTTATTCAAAAGTTCATAATACATATGTGTGGGTAGGTGTTTAGATAGACTAACAGATAGACAAACAGCAAGATAATTCAACTGTTAAATGGTGAGACTTTTAACAACCAGTGGATTTTTCTCACCACTGTTTCTATACCAGATTCAGAAATTTCATCCACAAAGACACATAACTATTACCTTTCTGATGAAATTAACATGGCACTGTCCTTTCTGCACAGGTGGAGGGCATTCGGGAGGCACCTGGTATTCTTTGTGAATTTTACTCTGCTCCGCAGCATAATGAACAGCAGACATAAAATGAACCTGAATTACAGTGATCTCCTTGATAACATCTGTGATATCAAATGTCTGTGTCAGGGATACAAAGAAATGTATTACATTACAAACACAATATATTAACCACTCTCAAGCAGCATCCATTATGGATTAGTTCACTTATCTGGGCTCTGGTTCAAACATTACATTTGGAATACCATTGTAGAAGTAACAGGAGAAAGCTGGTTTGAAATCTCAGTGACTTGGAGAACCTGGCTGTGGAGCCAGGAGTCAGGAATTAGATACTCCACTGTACCTCGTAGGAGAACAATTAGCCTGTGGGGCTTTGGACAAGCTACAAAGTCTTAGAGTGACCCTAGAACAAGAGATTAGTAAAAAAAAACTTCTGTGTACTCTGTCCCCAGTAAACCATGGAAAGGGTTGCCATACATTGGAACTGATGTGGTGATACGTAATTACATAGCTGGCTGAACCACTTAGTAAGCTGAGGCAACTGCTGTGGAGTCAGTTCGGGAATTTAATTCTCCACTCTGCCTTGTAGGAGAATTAGCCTGGGTGGTGTTGAGCAAGCTATCTGGTCCCAGAGTGCCCCCAGAAGAAGGGAACAGTAACCCACTTCTGATTATAACTAGAAAACCCTGAAAAGTGACAAAATCAATTTGATGGTGCGTAATTATTATTATTGCTGGAGCAGCTAACTGGTGTGAGCAGTGCAAGAAGTCTCTTAATTTAAACCTCAAGATTTGCCACTATGATCGCTCAAAGATGAGAAAGGGCACCCTTGTGTCATTTGCTATCTTAGTTACTGCTGCTGCACAATTGAGGGCCTGCATTGGACTCTGTGAATCTCTCACCAAAGAGCAAAGGACACTTGCCACAGCAAGCAGGCATGTATCAGTGTTGACATCTGGCAGACTTTTTCAATATGTACAATCAAACAGGTTAGTGCCCTCTAGTCTCACTCCTATTATCAACAAAAAAAAATTATCAAATAGTGGCTGAGATTCTATTGCTTTAACTTTTACCACCTAAGGTAGATGATGACATCATCAGCTGTAGCAGTTTTCTGGAAATTAAAAATGTCCCAATTCTTCCTCCTCCTCCTCCTCCAAAGGTCCTGAGGCTTGGCTGGGATCCCTTTCATCGTGTGGAAGCCTTTGGGGACTGTGGGATATGGGGACGTCTTTAATTTCCAAAGATCAATGCCATGGCGACAATGTTGCTGCCAACTGCAATCCTAAGAAATTAAAGAACTCTTCCTCTCCTCACTTCTGGTCAAAGGAATCCCAAGGGAGACGCCTCAGGCTATTCAGAGGGATCAGAAGGTTTTAATTTCCAAAAAAAATGCTAGAGCTGATGATATCAACATCCTTCTGCATCATAAAACTGTTGGGTAGCTCAGTGGTTAAGGCATCTGGCTCAAGAGCCAAATGTTGGGAGTTCAATTCCCCACAGTGCCTCCTTGAGAGGGGCTGGACCCAATGATCCACAAGGTTCCTTCCAACTCTGCAGTTCTCAGATTATTGCTATTAAGTTTTGCTGCTGAATTCCAGCTATAGTATTATAACTATCCAACCTGTTGGTTTTGCCCAACAGTTCTACATAGCTCTCCAAGCAATTTGGATGAATTGTGAAAAGGTGCTGCAATTAAAAATTAAGTAAGAATAGTTGAAACAGGGAGTTGACTGATACAAATGTATCCATTTTCAAAAACTGCAACACTCACATATCTGTTGAACATGTTGTCTGTTTTCCCAACAGTGACGTTATTGACCACGACCTGTGCTACTGTATCAACACCTTCAAAAACCAAAGCCACTTTTTGCCAACTGCTACAAAAAGAAAAACCACACAGTCATTATGGTGCATTATGATGATGTGGTACAGTGCAATTGATAACTTCCTGCAAACCACAATTTGAATACTCCAAGGTATTTCCAGAACCATGCATTTCCTTTCCTTCTGTTCCTGATGATAAAACTTTCTCTCCTTTCCCTTCTCTTGCACTTACCCATTAATCATGGTTAAAACCAATCAAGTCTCCAGTTATCTAAGTGTCGAAAATCATGATCTGCAATTGGTTTGCAAATTCTAGTCATGATGGAATATCTGGTTGCATTACGAATGGGGTAGGCATACAGAATAAATGCAGATACCACATTGAATTATAATTCAGACTGGAAAGGGATGTTCCTTTAGATGGCGGGCTTCTAATTCAAAAACCATGGTTTGCACAGGGCTAGCATAAAATGGGAATTAGCCCATTAAGTCTATGTCACTAGAGTATTTGTGCAGCAGCCGCATAACGGAAAGTCAAAAGCTATTACTGATGTGCTACGAATTACCCAAAGATCTATCAGTAGGTTCTGATCCAACTTCTTGTTGCTCCTGCATTGCAGCAATGTTTAGGGAATTGTACTATTTATTTAAAAGTTACTTTTTTGCTCTGCATTATAGCAATCTTCATGTTGTCTGGAGAATTATAGGAACTGCCATCCAATTTTTTCCATATTCTATTGATAATAATGTATGAAATAAGATGACCACATGGGAGGCTCCCATACTAATGTTGCCAACCCCAACCAACTAGATGCCAATATGGGAACATTATTAACATCTGCATATTGAAAATCAATTTTTAAACTGTAATCACTAAAATACCAGCAATACAGATGGTAACACACATAACAGCCTTTTTTCCCCTCAAGGAACTATCTCAAGACATATCTACATGTGGCATTAGGAGCTGGTTGGAGCAGGCTAAATAGTCACTAGAATGTCTAATAGGCCATTTGGAGCGATCCACACATCCAAATGGCATACGGACCTCAAGCAACTTTATTTAGTCTGCAGCAGCCTGCAAGTCAATTTGCTGATGTTTTGAAGTGGCTTAAGTAGAGGGCCATTTCAGGATATTGGCAAATTAATCACTTCCTCAGCTCCACAGGCCAGGGGGGCAGGAAACGGGGGGGGGGAATATAAGAGCAGCAAATATTCACTGCATCACTTTAAAGGCCTAAAAGACTAAAAGAAAACAAATATGTATTAGGGCAGTACCGCACTGCCATTTGCTTTCTGTTAGTCTTTTGGGTCTTTAAAGTGACTCTGTGAATATTCACTGCCCTTGTACACATGTTTTTAAAAATATCACTTCCTTGGCCCCTCCATGGACCCGAGTAAATGATTAATTTGCCAATATCATGAAGTGGCTCTCTTCTTGAACCACTTCAAAATATTGGCAAATTAGAGGAAAGCTCATTCTTGGCCCACTTTCAGTGATTCCACAAGCTGAAAATGGACCAAACCAAAGTGACTCTACGTGCACCTAAAAAAGCAGAAGCCCCTGGCAAAGGTCAGAAAGATGTAGATAGGAATATTCTGGGCACATCACTCCAGTGTTCAAGTCATGTGACCACTATTAAAAAGAGCAAACCAACCCATCCCAGCAGCGATCCAAATGGCAGCTCTAAACATCCATCTGATATACCAATGCTGAACCTCTGAGAATTTTTCAACTTTTAAGAGTGCTGCGACAGGCAAGGAATTTTGCAGCGTCTATTCAGAGGTAAACATTATTGATTTCTATGGTACTTATTTCCAGGCCCGCAGTCTGAGAATTTCAGCCTAAATCATAACAATGTTAACTTCTGTTACTCTCATACCTGGCAGCAAAAGGACTTTCAAATTTTTTGCTGTATGTCCAGTTATCCAAGGAGATCCATGTATAGGCCAGGTCATTAAACCTATAATAAGGATCCTATAAATCAACCACACAAAGGAAAGAGGAACAAAAGGTTCTTATTAAATGACCATAATGCAACACAATTCAGGGTGGATAAAAATCATTTTTTAAAAAAAAAATCAATTTAAATTTTAAAAAATGGATAGGCCTGACCTCTCTGCATATGCACCAGCCTATCAGCTGGGCATGCGCTGCCCAGCTCCAAAGCCTTGGGGAGAGGCCAGAGACTCAGACGTGGGGCTCACAGGCCCCGACACTCACACTCGGACATGGGACTTGGTCATAACGACTTACCAATATCCCTTCAGACTCTTACGTTTATCTACTACTCCTTTTCCGCCCCTCCCACATACAAAAAAAATTTTGTTTCCAAATAATATTTCGACACACAAGCCGTGTTCATGTGCTGTGATGATGATGGTTTATGGTAGTGGGTCCCAAACGTTTCAACTCATGGCTCCCTTGACTTACTGGCTGCAGCTCCCCGATACAATATTTTGGGGGAGAAGGGAAGCCTGGCCTCAATTTTTTTAAATCCCTGAAAATAATTTATCATTATAGAATGTAGCAAAATGAAAAATATAACACTTGCCCATTTTTCATACTATAGATGCTTCTGGAGTGATTTTTACCATACAAAGTGCTAGTTCCATGGTGCAAATCAGGAAGGGTATATGGTCAGACCGTGCTGATTTCTCCATATATTTTTTTCTGCCTTACACTCTGGTAACTAAAGGAATAACATTTCTGGAATTCCTGCTCCTTTTTTTACCAAAAATTCTCCATAGGTCCCACGGAATTGGTTTGCAAAATTCTAGTCTGGGAGTTTGTTAATTCTGAAAATAATAGTATAGTCCCTATTAAAAGTTACTTTGAGGATATTCATTTGAATAAAAGTTTCCCATCCATTCTTTCTCCTGAAGTCACCTGTAATCTCTTCTCCAAAGGTCTACTAGACCAGTGGTTCTTAACCTTTGTTACTCGGATGCTTTTGAACTGCAACTCCCAGAAACCCCAGTCAGGACAGCTGGTGGTGAAGGCTTCTGGGAGTTGCAGTCCAAAACTCCTGAGTAACCCAAGGTTAAGAACCAGTGTACTAGACCATGTAGGATGCTGACCCAGGGGCGGCAGGACAGAAAGTGGGAACAGTAACCTTTACCTCCACAAACTTCCTTATCTCAGGAAAGAAATCCAATTTTGAATAGTCCTTTAAGTTGTTGTTTGGTTGTTTTTTTGTTTGGTTTTTGGTTTTTAGGGGGGCCATCCGGTAAATGTAGTGGGCAGAAGGGCAAGATAGGAAACTTGTCTTTTATAGAGTTATTTAATTTAAAATTATCTTAGTACCCAAGACTATAGTTTTAAGCTCATATCAGCTTTCTTTCCGCTTGGTATCCTCTAGATCTGATAGACTATGGCCTTCATCCTGAGGACATGAAGTCAGGGAAAGCTTTTGTAGTGCCATGGTATTAAGCAAGTACGTTCTGGACTTGGCAATACATTTACCGTCGGATCACTGTAAAGGCAGAGTGAAGGCAAGTTCTGCAGACTTCTTCGTCAATTCATAAACTGAGGCAGACAGATAACACTCCTGCCTCATGAAGCCAGGCTATCAGCAAAGCAAAATGGAGTGTTAGACTTCACAAGAGACAGAGGTGACAAAGATAATCAACTTACCATCTGTCACTTCTCTGCTGACAAAAGCCAGCTTCCTCCAGATAAGTCACATATGCTAGGAGAAAGCACACCAGACAACTCGTATTCCAGGGACTCAATTTGTCATCCAAAAGCCATCCCTCCCAGGCCTCAGTATAGGCAATTCAGACACTGGCGTAATACATCAGCACTATATATGCATGGAAGGGCAAGGAATTGGCCTGATATCCTGTCTTCCTGCCCATCTCTCTCTCAACCTTATACCCTCCACACATGATCTCTGGTTACAGAGATCGTGTGACACCCACCCACCCATGTTATAGCAGTTCCACTGGCTGCTGATCTATTTCTGGGCACAGTTCAGTGCTGGTTCTAACCTATAAAGCCCTAAATGGCTTGGATCCAAGCATCTCCCTCTATGAGGCTGCCCAGTCTTTAAGATCATCAGGGGAGGACCTTCTCTCAGTCCCACCACCCTCACAAGTGTGCTTGGTGGGGACAGAGAGAAAGGGCCTTCTCTGTTGCTGCTCACAGACTATGAAACTCTGTCCCATGGGAAGCCAGGCTGGCCCCATCTTTGCTGTCCTTCCACAAGCAGGCAATGAGCTTTTTCTTCAGACAAACATTATCATAATAACTGGTGGTCTGAGAAGGGTTTTTTAATGAATGGTTGTGCTCTGTTGTTTTACATGTGATTTAGCATTAATTTTATTACCATTTTAATATAATACTTGTTTAATTCTTTTAAAATATTTGTATACCTATTGTTTTTAGCTTCTACATATTGTCTTTTTAATGATGTAAGCCCCCTTGGGTTCTTTTTAAGGAGAAAGGCGGAATAAACATATTTTAAATAAACAGGAAAGTTCAAAGGAGAATCTCTGCTTGGGTTCATTGGAGTGCAGGTAGAACCAGAGGCTGGAAGCATTTCTTTTATTTGGGGGTGGGAATCCTCCAGCCATGGTGAGCAAAATTCCAGAAGCGTCCAGCCATGGTGAGGAAACTTCTGGGAGTTGTAGTTAAATAAAAGAGAGAACTTTTCCAAAATCTGAGATCACCCAGAATGATCATGGGTTCCTGCCTATGTAAAATTTTTATTTATTTTTCTTTGTTTATTTAAAATATGTTTACTCCATCTTTCACCTTTAAAAGGATACAAGGTGGCTTACAACATTAAAATACAACCTTTAAAAGATTAAAGCAGTTAATATACAAATATTTATTTATTTATTTATTTATTTATTTATTTATTTATTTATTTATTTATTTATTTATTTATTTATTTATTTATTTATTTATATTTAATTTATATGCCAAATTTATATGCCACCCACTCTACCCAGAGTGCCTCTATTTAAAAGAATAATTAAAAATACCACACTAAAAATAATGAACAAAATCAACACACACAAAAACAGATTCCAGCAACAAGGCACAACACTCTCCCAGACTGTAAATCACTAACTGAAAGCCTGTTCTACGAACCTTCTACCAAACACTGTTAGAGAGCAATTTCAGATCTTGCCATGCAACAGGAAAGTCATAGAATGAAGGGGCAGGTGGGCACAGGGATGAGCCAGTTTCATCTCCCTACCCTCTTACAGGCCTCATGTATTTGGACAAATACTTGAGTGGAGTGATCCTTTCCCCTTAGTCACCTCATCCTCATTCTTCCAAGGGAACTGAGAAATAGACAAAGGGCCTCAAAAACCATCATTTATTTGCCCAATGTGAAAATAACAACAGGGGGTTTGTCAGAGTTTGGCCATTGTACACCACAGTCACCAACCCATTTCATGTAAGCCAAACAACCAGCAGCTCATGGCAAAAGATTCATTAATGCTGTTTGGGTGGCAGCAAAATAAATTTATAGCTTTCTTTCCCTGTATCAGCCAAGTTGGCTGCCTTTTTTTGTAGATAAAGTCTTTCTAGATAAGGAGTTATTTCTTCACATTAAAACATGGTCCCAAAGCAACAGCTCTATTATTAGAAACCGGCTTTATCAGGCTTGTGTGAAGCTTGTCAAATCATGCCCATGAAATGGTACCACACGTCTGGGAACTTCTGCTACATTAATTTCTCTCTTTCTGCTCACCCTCCACCACCATCCTCAACACAACCATATTATTCTCTCAGATGCCTCTTTAAAAGCTCAAGAAATCAAGTACTAAGTAAGAATTAATTCCCTTATCAAAGCCTAAGAGGCTAGGCATTTATAAGGCAATCTTTGGAGAATGCACACTCGGTTGACCTGAGTTTTTATCCTCACTAAAGCAGTGTTTGAAATGAGAAGCGGGGGGTAGGGGGGAGCCCTTTGTAGGCAGCTCCATAGGTTTTTTCCTGACAGCATTTCAAGACGATAACCCATCATTTGAACGGAGAACAGCAGGAGGGGAAGGCAGAGAAAGAGAGAGAAGACTGTGGCCACCCCATACATGTGGGACAGTGGTGCATATTTTAGCGAGCCGGTACTAAATATAAACCTTGACAGGAATATGTAGCAGTACTGTAGGAAATTAGGAGGCACAGATCACTCTCTGTAAAGTGTGGGCATGCATGTGTGTCAGTGATAATTTCACAATAACAAAAGTGCTATCTGCATGGCAGGTTAATATTTAATTGTATCTAGAATAGTCTCATCCCAACCTCTTTGCCCAGACAGTTTACAGAAGCATGGGGATTTGTGTATAATACTACTCTTGACTCAAAGGTTAAAGAGAAAAAGCTTTTAGATGGCTCTTTCCCTAAACCATATGCCAATTGAGAATCACTGGTACGCCACAAAAAATACATTAAATACTCACTTTAAGAACAAAGACTGAACTGCAGGCTGTAATTTTACCAGTGTGGAAATGGGAAGACATGAAGACTCCATTGAGATTCTGGAAGTTTCCTTTGGTATATTTTGCTCCCTCTGCACAATAGAAGTGGTTGGTCTATCAAACTCCCATTCAGTGTGCAGGTGGGCCAGAATTACCTCCCTCAGAAGTCTTTTATTACAAAGATTACTGCTTTTTCTGGGCATGCAGCCTCACATGTCTTAAAAGCAAAACATTTGTTCTAGTAGTAATTTTTAAATACTTCTACTATTAAGTGAGGACAGCTGTTTCCCTTCACAGAATCAGCCAAGTGACAGGAACTGAATAGCTACCAGCCATGATGGCTTTAAACTGGAAAACAACAGGAGGTGTGATCTATGCTCTCATGCCCTCTTACAGGCATCCAGTTACCAGTGGTGTAACGGAGTAAGTAAGGGTTAATGGGTCAAAGCAGGACTTTGGAATCATTTGCTACCATCACCCTCTCAAGACCTCTGAGCTTTGCTGCATTCCGCACCATAGTTGGTCTGTGAGGATAGATTT